GTGATTTCTAAGACCACACACTAACTCTTGCTAAATGGAAGTTAGCCTGGACTAGAAGCAAGGCATACTTTCAAAAAAAAATCACTAGGAAGTATATGGAGCAGAGTTATTTCAATAAGATCATGAGATCCAGACCATCGTTCTAAACATTCTAACACTATACTAGAGCTATCCATAAAAGTAACTGCATTTTGTTTTAATAATTATTATTTAGTGGAAATCTAAACAAGGAGAAAAGCTTTAGATCCTGCTAAAGAAAACAAATGTGGGATTAAAAAAAAAAACTTTACAGAAAATCTGCATAAAACAAAAGGAAAAGAGAGGCTCGGCAAACTAAGACTGCAATGTTGCCGTGCTGGCAGATGAGTGAAGGCAAATGTGGAAATGAAATATCACCATAGCAATGACAGCCATCTCAGAAATGGGGGAGCTCACGTTTCATGTACACTCAATGGACATTTATAACCAGGGATCTGTGAGTTTGGCTATAATTCAGAAAGCAGCAGATGACTTGACGTGCCATTTGACAAGGGATTTTAAGAGCACATAGTATACTTACAATAATCATGCTTTACATTTAAACAATGCTTTAAGCTTATCATCACATTTCTGGTAAGCATTATCTTATCTGAATTTGAAACTTGAGATCATTTACCTACCTTACAGTCTTTGAGGAAAAGTGCCTGACATTTAATCTCTGAGCTTTTGGTTTATTTGCCTGTGAAATGGGGCCCTATCAAGTTTTTATTGCCCAGGACTGTTTCAAGAGACAAATATGACTAGATGAAAGCCTTTTAAGGAACGTAAATTGTGGCTAGGCATGGTGGCTCATGCTTGTAATCCCGGCACTTTGGGAGGCTAAGTGGATCACTTGGGGTCAGGAGTTCGAGACTAGCCTGACCAATATGGTGAATCCCCCATTTCTACTAAAAATACAAAAAATTAGCTGGGATGGTGGCTCATACTTGTAATCCCAGCTACTGGGGAGGCTGAGGCAGGAGAATTGCTTGAACCTGGGAGGTGGAGGTTGCAGTGAGTGGAGATCCTGCCATTGCACTCCAGCCTGGGTAACAGAGCAAGACTTTGTTTCAAAACGAACAAAAATGTAAAATATAATCAGAATGTGTTGTTATTTTTATTATTACTGGTTACTAATACTGAGAGCAGTAAGATTTTCAAGTTAGGAGGGTATATACAGAAAGGGGATGACCCCTGATTCCTTCTGCTTAAAACCAGTTTTCCATGGTAGGTAATGTGGGTAAATTTTTAAAAATTAATCTACCTATATGAGAATTTTTTTTTAGAGAAATCTATAGGAATTAAAACTGAGGCAGAATTTCAGACTTTGAGAAACATGAATCTTATTAGGAGACTGAGAAGAAAAAATAATAAAACTATTAAGACTCTAACATTTTGTGGCCTGATAAGCCATGCCCTTCCCACTGCACGAGAAGTTCAGTGGAGGCATTTAGAATACAGAAAAATGGCTGTATGTTAAAAAAAAAAAAAAGAAAAGAAAGAAAGAAAAAAAGAAAAGAGAGAGGAAAAAAGATACTTCTGCAAGATGGGATGCATTGCATTACTGTTGTACTTGGTGGCATAAATAAATTATCATACAATTAATTATGATTCATTGTATATATAAAGCATCATAGCAGAATGGCCATTATTATATATAGCTTTTTACTGCACAATTTTAATAAATGTGGCAGATACTAAGAAACTCTGATCTATTCCCCCTCTTCAGTTCTCAAACAAGGAGGAAATCACGCCTAAATGAGGTTTTAAAAAATGTTTAAGGCACCAAAATTATTTTAAAATGTAACAGAAACATGGAGCAGTCTATTGGTGGATAGTGTTGAGTGAGAAAAAGACTTCTTTTAAAAGAATATTATAAATTTAGATATTATATATTCTTTAAAAAGAATATTTATATAATACCTAAAAAACTCTTTAGATATTTTAGAATTTTCATCATATTATTGATTTCTATCTACCTTTTTTTCTCTTATTTCTTAAGATTCCCTGTAATGAGGTTAAACTGGGCAATAAAAACAGAAAGCATATGTACATAAATTAAACACACATTTTTCAAGCAACAGATGAATTTGCATGTCACAAATTAGCAACCATATCAAAGGACAGCCATTTGATCTGCATTTTCAGTGGTAGAGATGTAGGGATGTCTTGTTTTATTTGTTGGGACTAGAAAGTTAGTAAAAAGTCTTGTCCTACATGTGAGTTAAGTTCTCATCCTTCCTCCTCTCCCCATCCCCAATCAATAATTCAGGTCCAGAAGAGGAACCTCTGGTCACCTCTGCAAAAGGAAGCCTGATGGAAAACTGTAGCCTGGTTTGACAAACTGCACTGGTCCAGTTTCAGCTAGCAGCTAACACTGGCTATGGTAGTTAAGGCTTATGCTAGACATGGCCCAGGGTTTACCAGCCCTTGTTCTGGACTATGCTGCCTCCAAAGGTGTTTGGCCACCAGCACCTAGGAACAAAGCCAGGACGAGGTGCAAGGTGACCCCAGCAAATCTCCTTTTCTTAAGGTTAATTTTTACTCCTGGTGACAAAATAAAGGGAGACAAAGGAAACTTACAATATTCTTAAGACCTGGTCCCAGATGTGGACAGTTTGCTGCAGGATGGCTGGCTGTACTATCTATGGTATAAGTCTTCAGTCCTCATGTAAATGGAGACTTACACCCTCTACCCCCACACCCAGGAAGAATAAAGACTAAAATCATGGAGCAAAAGCATCCCTTAGTGGAGATCTGCTAGGAAGGCTTCATTTCCCAAAGGAGGCAACTGAGGCCCCACATGTAAGGTACACCACCAATTTGATAATTAGGGGTCACTTGGGTCTCCTGTCTGTACTCACTTGTGTCTTCCCACCCCCAATTTATAAGTTTGCTTCCCAGACCTGGGCTTAGAATATTGAAATGTTATGGCAAAATCAGTTGTCTGCAGGGAAACCAGGGCATTGTTGTTTAATGTTTGGCGGCTTTAGTGTAGTTGGGACATTTGAAATTTAAAACAACTTCCATGTTATATGTTTTTCGGTAAGTGATAATGTCATGATCTCCCTGGATGGGCATATATAAAATGATCCTCACATTTAAAATTGTGATTTGTGAGAGCCACATCACAATAGCACACAGTTATATGCCAATAATGCCATTCATAAAACCATCACATGTTCTAACAGACTTAACAAATGTAGCACAGCCTTAAAAACTGTGATCTTGAAATCCCTTGAAAGGTCTTAGAGAATAAAATGTAAAAATTAAGCTTGTCAAGTTTGTTTGGAAGTTTTCATTTAAACGACATATTCAGACCATTGCTAATTGCTGCTTTGATTAAATGTGGAAAAATATTTAATGCCCCAGATTTGAAGTTAAGAAGTCTTGGAGGGCTGGGGGAAGAGCAGGGAACTGGGAATGACCAGGGAAAGACTGAGAGATACAGGAAAGGGTCTTGCTGTGGGGTGAGGGGGATCCTGGAGAGGGGAGAGAACCGAATGTGAGCAGAGGAGGAGGGCGAAGGTAGAAGGCCACCAAAATACCCTACTGGTGAGAATATCATGATTTTAACTTCTGTAATCAGAAGACTTTTATATTTTTTTGTACCCAGAGCCAATTTGCAGAAGACCTTACCTTTGACAAGCCTCTTTGCCCCCAGCTAAAGCTGCTTGAAAAAATACACATGTAAACATTTACATGTTTCATAAGTCATGTTCACGGTTTTTGCCATACTTTGTCCACATACTTAAAATACACTCAGAGCATTTTTTGAAAATTTTTATTTCTGTTGCATTTCAAATACAAAGATGACATTCCACTCCCAACACATAACCCTCAGTTTTTTAAACCAAGCCCCTCCTACTGTACTCTTAGTAAAAATGATTGGCTTACCTCGGGCTCTTCGCTAGGAAAAAAATTAGTTCATATTTTTTAAGCACAGCCACGCCCACACCCTTGGAACCAGCCCCCGCGTGGTTTGGGATCCAGACTTGTCTACAGCAGGTTAAATATTTCCCCTCTCCCCCATCCCCCACCAGGCGAGCTGAGTGTGTGCAGAATACTGAACTGATGTGTGCAGCCCCGGGCGCCCCAGATACCTGTGTGTCTGGTTTTTCAACTGTAAAGGCGGGAGGGTTTGGCGAACGAATGAGAAGTGAGGAAACGCTTAGCGCAAAGGGAAAAAGAGAGAAAGATATACAGGAACAAGGTTACGGAGGCCGGCCAATAGCGACCCCCCTACTCCCCCAGGCCAGGAGCCCTGCTTATTTCCCCGGAGGTCCCGCCACCTTCCCCGCGCGTCCTCCGCACGGCTCACCGCAGATAGCCCAGGCGCAGGTACCACCAGAGTGTGCGGACATCGAAAGTTTCTTTGCCCGCTCCATGGCTCAAACCACAAGACAGCCCGTTCCCAAGTACAAGTACACAGTCGGCGGGTAATTTGGGGGTGCCGGGATAGGAACAGGGGAATTTGAGCGTATCATGCACAGGCGAACACAGAATATGGACACCAACACACGTCAACGACAAGCTGTCAGAGTCCAAGCAGCCGTGCCAGGCGAGGCGGGGACGCGCCTTCCCCAATGACTCCAGCCCACCATGGCCCGCACCAGCCTAGCCAGGGGAGCCCCGGGGCCCCTCCCAGGCAGTTCCTGGCTCACCTGAAGCCCCTGCCTGCTGTCCAGCTTACGGTTGCTGGCGCTGGCCTGTCCAGCCGGAAACGACCCTCAGTGTCGCTCGGCACCACTTTTCTCCCTGGAGGGCATATACTTCGGCCACCCAAATCCACCCAAGATCCCCTCCCGCTCCCAGGGCAAAGTTAGGGTCCCTCCCTGGAACTTTCTAGCAGGCTCTTCCTGCCTTTGGCTGAACCCCCTCCTCCCACTGCCGAGCCCCGCGCGTCCCACCGGGCAGCCCTGCCACCCCCTCCCCGGTTCCCTGGCGGCCCTGCTGCCGACAGGCAGAGTCCGCCGCATTACCTAGAAGCAGCAGGCGGTGCGTACACATGTAGCCCATCTTTTCGTCCTGGAGTTGCTTGTCGATGAGCTTGCTGCGTTTCTTCTCTGCACGCTTCTGGGCCCGCTTCTCCAGGGCTTCTTTGCGCATCTGTCTGCGTTTCTCCGCCAGGGGTACCTTCTTGACCTTGGGGGAGCGTGAAGCTTTGGGCTGGGGACTCTCAGATCGACCGAAGCAGCCCCCGAAGGCTTGCATGAGGAAGTTGCGGAGTAAGTTGCGCCGGGGCTTTCGGCGGCGGCGGTTTCGCCGATGCTGAAACCAGCGGATGCATCCGAAGGTCCCATCGTCGGACTCGTCTCCGCTGGAGTCATCGTCGCTGCTGGCCGCCCCTTCATCGTAGTACCCGTGGCGGCCGCGGCTGCGCTCGGACTTGCCCCGCCAGGCAGACGCGCGAGTAGGCCGTGGAGTAGGCGGATCGGCAGCCTGGATTTCGGGGCTGGGGGGTCTAAGGAGATGGAGCTTGCGTCTGGCCCCGGAGGCAGGGGCTGCAGAGGCTGCCCGGGCTGCTGGGGCTGCCCGGGCGGCAGGAGCGGCTGGGGCAGCTGGGGCCCCAGCGTCAGGCGCAGCTGGGGCGACAGGGGCTGCCCCGGTCTCAGCAGCCGCAGGGGCGCCGGGAGCGTCAGGGGCTGCCCGGGAGTCAGGATCGGCTGGGGCGTCAGGGGCTGCCCCGGCATCTGGATCGGCTGGGGCGTCAGGGGCTGCCCCAGAGTCGGGATCGGCTGGGGCTGCCCCAGAGTCGGGATCGGCTGGGGCTGTCCCGGAGTCGGGATCGGCTGGGGCTTCCCGGGAGTCGGGACTGCCTGGGGCTGTCCCGGAGTCGGGATCGGCTGGGGCTGCCCGGGAGTCGGGATCGGCTGGGGCTGCAGGGGCCGCCCTGGCTGCGGGATCCGCTGAGGCTGCCCCGGCGGCAGGGGATCTGTCCCCCGGAGAGGGGACTTTTCCTCCCTCCGTGGCATCGGTGGCTGTGCCTCCTTCCATCTCGGCTGCTTCCTCCTCAACTGGGGGTCTCTCTGCTCGCTCTCTCTTATCTGGGGCTCCGGAGACCTTGATGGGCGGGCCGTCAAGCGCGATTGGGGGGCTGTCCATGTTGACGGGAGCGTCGTCGACCCCAGCGGGGGCGCTGCCAATCTCAAGTGGGGGTCCGGAGATCTCCATCGGGGGGCTGCTGCTGGTGAAGTTAGGAGGTCTGACAGCCTCTCGGGATGGGCTGCCGATGGTTCCTGGGACCCAGAGGGGAGGCGCATTCGCGGCGGGAGTGAGGCGGACCGCACTCGAGACCGCGACTGCCGCAAACTGGCCACCGCCGTCGTCGACTTGTGCGATGACTCGGGAAAGCCCCGGGGGTGGGCTGTCTTCCCCAAAGCCTTCTCCATCAAGCTCAAATGGCATAGTCTCCTCAGGGGGAGGGCTATAGCCTCCTCCGGAGCCAGCCTTTGGAGGCTTGAGGGCTTGGGGCTCCTCGGGAGGAGCTCTGGGGACCCCTGCAGCACCTGGGCCTCCTGGAGCAAGGTCTGGGACCTGTAAGAGAGGTTGACTGCAGCCTCTCTGGGCAGGCTGGTCAAATTCAAAGGGCATAGCTTCTTCTGGTGGAGGGCTGTATCCTCCCACACCTGGTCTGCCACCACCGAAGGCTCCAGGCTCCATGAGTGCTGAGCCGAAGGCCTCAAGGCCTGTCTGGGCCCCACTGGGGGATCCAGGCTGCTCCAGTGTGGGCCAGAAGCCTCCCAAGCTGGGCTGTTCGACCTCGAAGGGCATGGCTTCCTCGGGAGGTGGGCTGTAGCTTCCATGGGCTCCAGCTTCCTTGAAGGGCGGACTGAGAACCTGAAAGTTGGGCCTGGAGACCACTGGGGTTCCACAGGCCTCGCCGTCATTCTCGAGGGGGATGGGCTCGCTGTAAGGCGGTTCGGTCTCCATCTCTTCGGCTGGGCTAGGCCCAGCACCGGGGGCAGCTGCCCCTGGGGCCTCCAAAGGTGGTTGCTCGGGCTGTTCCCCGATTTCAGGGGAGATATCGTGTTGTCCTGACATATTATTGCCGTCGAGGCAGTTGCGCACGCCCATAACACGGTGGCGGCTTCTTAAAATAAGTTTGGGGCTCCGTAGGACGGAGCACCCAACCGAACTAGGGTGAAAAAAAAATTTTAGAAAAAAATCAAAGTACCAGCTGGAAAGTTCTCCAGCCTCACTTTCCAACCCTTGTGAGGTTGGGGGGTTCAGGGCCTGGAACCCTAGACCGAGGCTGAAGCAACCCAATTGTTACTGGTGGAGTCTTGGTTCCTTCCAGGCCACTTTTTATCCCCTTAGGCTGCACCTCCAGCCCCTCTTCCTTGGTCTGTCCTTATACCCTCCTCTCTTTTTCTTTCTGCTCCAGGCCAGTCCCGCCTGCTTGGATCTGACGAGCGTGCCGATTCGGTCCGAAAATCGCCAGTAGCGCTCTCTCTCTGCCACCAGAGGACGCCGGTTCCAGTGCCAAGCTGGCTCCGGCTCCAGGAGCCTGCTCCCGGCACCAGCAGCCCAGGACTTTGGGTAAGGGGGCTGATGAGCGCAGGCCTCGCAGGGATGTTTTGGCTCCTTCCACTCCTCTCTCCGACTGATTTGGAGTCTTTCTCCTCGCTTCTCCCCTGTCCAGAGAAAGATCTCCTGCGTTGCAGGACACGTGACGCAAGACGTGGGCCTCGGGACGCTGGAGTACAGGAGCTGAAACCCTCCCTCCCCAACCCAACAGACTCCTCGGGGGAGGGGGACTGAAGAAGGGTTTCATCACCCCAGGACACCCCCGAACCCCTGAGTCATAGCCCCCAGCCTCCAGGCAGCCCTGGATCTCAAGTCCCTGGTCCAGAGCGCAAGACTTTTGGTGCCTGGGAAGGGGGCGCAGGTGTGCACAGGGATGCGACAGGTGGTCGTGGGCCCACCAGAGAAGCAGAGAGAGGCGAGGGCGAGGGGATGCCGAGTGTGCGAGCGCATAATGTGTTTTTTAAATGCCTTGGGTGTACTTTTTGCTGCTTTTGCTTGTCGCTCGCTGAGTTTGGCTCCGGTAAAGCACTTTAAGAGACCCCATCCCCATCACACTCTAGGGGTCTCTACAGTAGCCCATAGCGGTGCAGGCAGGGTGCTCCGCCGTTTATGTGGATGGTGACGCAGGGGAATAAGAGGGTCTCAGGTGCGCACCGCCGCGAGCAAAGCCCCCTAGGCAGTAGCTGCGGTGGTACCGATGGAGGGGTGGGACCCGTGCTGCTCAAAGGGGACCCCACAAATTGGTCTCAGAGTTTCACAGGTCCTACTGTTCCAGGGAAGGATTAAAGGGGATTTTGGTTGCGGTTTACGGCCGGTTTGGGGTGGTTTCGGAGAATGGACTGTGCCGTGCGCACTGAACCCACTGATAAACACCGTGCCGCGCGGCAACCACAGCTGAGGTGCGTGGCTCGCAGCTTCAGGCGCCCGCCGCAGAGCCGGTCAGTCCGCTTCTCTAGCCCCACTACAGCCTGTCTCCAGCACCCTTCCAGCCCCTCTCCTCTCGCTCTGGGTATCTTAGTGTAGCCCTTTACTTTTCCACTGCAAGAGCCGGCTGAGGTAGCACTGAGCCCGCCATCCAGCCACAAACCCGGCGGTTGCCCTCGCAGCTGCGCTCCCGCTACCGTGCTGCGGTGGGCTCAGAGCCAGCGGAAGGTAAACACCCACATCACCTGGTGGCCTTGGTGCGTGCACATGCTGTGTTCTGGTCTGGGGTCTGCAGAGAGATTTGAGCCCCTGAGAAAAGCTGTTGCTAGGGGTCACGTAAAACCCGGCAGGCGCGTATCGGGTCTTTCTCAACAGTGATTAGGGGCGTATCGGGTCTGTCTCAACAGTGATTGACAGACTGTTGAGCCACGTTTAGGCACAGAGCAGCTGGGTAGGGTGTCACCTGGTCTGCAGAACCCTGGGGGAGAAGAGGCTGGATCAGTGTTACAGAGGGCGGGCTACAGCAAGCAGGGCGCATGGCGCGGGCCGCTGTATACCAGCCGCAGGCGAGCGAACCACCGCACGGGGCGATCCGGTTTAGTCTAACACATCCATCTTAGAGCCAGGGTACCATAGGCACCGCGCATCCTTGCCCCCCAGCATCCACCATCCTTGTGGCGACCGGGCAGCACGGAGGGAGGTGAACACAGTCGGACCCTGGGAAACGTTTGGGGTCCCCCAAAGATGTGGGTCTACACACTTCTAGATGTTAACACTGAACTTTGGTTCAAACTTTAGCCAACTACCCCCATGCAAAACGGCTTAACCACTTGGACATCCACTGAATGGCCCAACTGGATCCTAACGCCAAATCACTCCCCTCCGACCCCAGCGCCGGGTCAGCCATTGGGCTGGGGTCATGCCAATCAAGGCTGCCTGGCGAATAAGAAGGGGGCGTCAGACCGGAAACCGGATATGGGTGGGAGGTCCTATAGGGGGCGCCGCGTTGGAACGCCCAAAGAGGTTGTGCTGATGAGGTGGTTGAAAGCGGTTGGTGGGCGGGTATATGGCGGCTAGGCCTGGAAGGCCACGAGGACTGCTAGCGCCGTAGGGTCAGGCTTCCTCATGCCACTGGTCACCGAGGCTTGGGGGAGAGATGGGGTCCCAGGGGCCAACCCTTGGGCGCATTGATGGCGGCAGGCTAACCTGGCCAACAGGGTGCCGCTGCCGGGCGAGGCGAGGAGCAAGAAGATTTCCAGGGCTGGGAGGTAGAGGGCCAGGACCCCGAGGAAAGGGCTTCTGCGAGGAGCAACCCAGGATGGATAAGGAGTTGAGGCCCCAGGGATGCTGAGCCTGCACAAGTGGAAGGTCAGTAGACATTGGGGTTGGAGCCCCAGGGAGGCTGCCATGGTGCTCTGAAGGGACGATTTGCTGTCGTCAGGCCTCGCGCTCATTCCCAAAGCACCAATTGTCAAGGAACGGGTTCAGGGTCTCTGTTTGATACCCTCACGGGTCTGTGGGACTCCTTTGTTCATTCTTTCTGGTATGATTCTTTGCCAGGGGAGCACATGCATCGAGGTGATTTTAAAAAAAAAGTTAGACAAATACCAATCCCTCATCCTGGGGGGTAGAGCAGCATAAAAATGAAAGAAAAGACCTCCACTTTGGGGGACCTTAAAAGTCTTGGTGGAGAAAATGGCTTTTTATATGAGCCTTCAAGGAAGAATAGACGCCTTGGATGAATAGAAGGTGGTAGTGGGGGATGGGAGACGTTTGCCCACCACGAACAAAGGATTTAATGGTAGGAAACATGGGGCGTGGCCGGGTAAACACAACTGGCCACCTTGGCTGGCTCTTGGGGAGCAGTGGGAGAAAAGGCAGGAGAAATTAGATAGAATTTCTCTGAGGATGCCATGGAGTATGAGGGCAAGCACATTTGAGGCTATTTTGGCAGGAAACGGGAGAGGATGCTGAAAGTTTGTTCTGCAAGTGAGGATTTGAGCCTACTTTTAGGAAAGGAAGAAGCAGCATGGAGGATGATCCTGATAGAGAGAGAACAAAGGAAAGGGGTTATGCACAAAGGAGATGTTTAAAGGAGAGACCTGGCACGGTTAGTTAAGGAAGCAGAAAGGCTGAAGGACGACACTCAGGAGGGGTCCCAAAGGACCCTCCTGGATGTGGCACCCAGATGGATGGGACACTGGGAGTGGGACAGGGAAGCCAGTGGGAGGGGCTGGCAAAGTGGCAGAGCCAATTTGGTTTTAGACATGGCAGAGTTGATTTCCAGGGCTGGGAGGCAGAGGGCCAGGACCCCGAGGAAAGGGCTTCTGCGAGGGGCAACACAGGATGGATAAGGAGTTGAGGCCCCAGGGATGCTGAGCCTGCACAAGTTTCCTATCTTGGGCAGTTGGGATGGAGATTTTTGTGGCCCATTATTTGGGAGGAAAGGTCTGAAGTTTAGAAAAAGATAAAGATCATACATTCAAATTGGCAATCATCCTAATAAAGATGTGAAATTATGGAGTCAGATAAAACTCTCTAGGGGAGAAATACATTTGGTAGTAGAATCTTGAACAATTGGCACGCTGGACAGGAAAAAGGGAGGCAGTCCAGGAGCGAGCAGGGAGAACTCAGAAGGGAGAGATGGGAACACACCAGAGGAAGGGGTTTCAGAACTCAGCCCATCTAATCTAGACTTGGTGTTTTAGCCCCTGCGCTGGTGGCATTTGGGGCCAGGTAATTCTTTGTCGTGGTGACTGCCCTGTGCATCGTAGGATGTGGTGCAGCATCCCTGGCCTCTACCCACTAGATGCCAGTAGCATCCCCTTAGTTTTAACAACCAAAATGTCTCCAGACTTTGCCAAATGTCCTCTGGGGAGCAAAATCACCCCCAGTTGAAAATCACCACTATAAGTGAAGAAAGGTCCCTTAGATTTGAATAGGAATTGCCTTAATTTAAAGGTAAATTAAGACCAGGAAGAATAAATCCCAGTATTTAACCCTGATATTCCCCCTTTTTTACACTCTTGTTTATTTATCTGTAGTGACTGGCTACCAGACTCTGAAAAACCTAAGTGTTTTAGGTGAGTGGAGCTAAGAGCTGAAACATCAGCATGGGGTCAGGGACCCCAGAAGTGTGGCCAAATGTTTGAAGAGTTGACCCACCTGAAAGGCAACCGGTGGTCAGGCCACAGGGACCTGAGGAATTCAGTATGGTAAGAGCTGGGGGTGATTGGCTAGTGGTTTACTGAGGGCCACCTTGTTTGGCCCCTGATTGGTAGGCTTGTGTGGTGATCCTCCTGAGGGCTGGTAATTTTGCTAGCTCAAGACAGAAACGTGGCCTTGACCTGGAGAGAGAGATGGCCAGTGCTGGATGCCAGTGGACAGTGTCTTCTGGGGCCTAACCTGACCAGTGGCATTTTTAGGGTCTGCCTTTATAACCGTATAATAGCAAACCTTAAACATAGATTTCCAGTGCTGGATGGATTGCCATCATAGGAAGAGATAAATATGTGATAGGACTGAGGAAGAAAAGTCTATTAATGTGTTTATGCAGCTAAGGAAGAGGAAGTCAGGCGAGGCTGGTACCTGAAAAAAGGCTGAGTTGGGATGGACAGAAGCTGTGTGCCAGGGTCTTGACCCCTGTCCTGAGGGGCTGTGTGCTAAAGTGCAGGGCTGCCATGAGATAATGTGTCAAGTAGGGGAGGATAGGATTGACTGTTGAAACCCGGGGATGGCTTATTTGAAAACTGTATACTTGGCTACTTAAAAATAATAGTTTCTACATTTGATGTACTAAGAAAGGGATGGGGAAAAACTTCTCATGCTTCCATTAAACTGCATTTCTGAGGAAAGCCAAATGGCCCACGTGCCACAGGTGGCAAACAGTGGCTTTTTGAAAATATGGAACCCCAAATGGAAAGAATGTATTTCTTTACTGCTGACTCTCCGAAGAGCACCATTACAGCCCCATTCCTTGGTAATCCCATGTGGTGCCCTGGGCTTCTCAAACTTAGTCTCAGCTGTGTATTGATGCTTTTGTGGCACATGTATTCAACAAGTGATTGTGCTTCTATTTACATTCTGGGATTCTTACTCACTACCAAAAGCTCAAGGCACATCCCAAGTTTAGGTAGCTACCTGTCAACTTTCTGGATTTATCACTGTAGCCCACAAAGAGAAAGAGCAAAGTAGAGAGAGGGAGGGAAGGGAGGTGGGTGAAAGGGAAGGGAAGCAAAACCATGAAAAACAGTCTTTTTTTTTTGTAGTCATTTTCCTTTTGGTCTTCGGCTTTGCAGGGAGGTGGGTGGTGAGGTTTGCAGAAGTGCCTTCTCTGTAGCCTATTGTGTCATTAGTTGTCAGTGGGTTTCTTTCAGTTGAGGGAAAAGTAAAAGCAGAAAGAGAAGGTAGAAAAGAATTTAGGCAACTATGAAGTTTCTCAGCCTCCCAATGATAAATGTTTTCTGAGTGCTGACTGAGTAGTAATGAGACTTTGAAGCTGTTCAATTCATTACTTTTCAGTCAAGACTTGCTGCTGCCATCCTTTTCCCTTTAGCCTCTCCCCTGCCCACCTTGGCCAGTGGAGGCAGCAGCATACTGCTGTCTGCAGAAGGGTCTGCGTGGCCAGGCTGTCTGAGGCAAATCCCAGCTAAAGGAAAAAAGCCTCAAATGGATGAAGCAAGATACCGGGTTAGAGGCAGGTGCAAGGCTGATATTAGAGATAGGGGAAACAGTCTTTATGAAAATACTTAAAAAGCCCATATCGTGAATTCACGCCCCTTCACTCAGCTAATTAGCTGTAGTTCAGCAACCTTTTCAAAAGGCACACCAAATTGTGCTTCAGCCAAGGCACGCCACTGTCATTTGACCACCTGTGCTTGAACGGTGGGTCCAGACATTTTCTCTGTAGTTGCCTGAGCTGGGCTGTGGATTCTTTCTTCAGACGAGCTGATGACGCGGCAAATAATTTCAGGGGAGAAGAGGTCATTCCAGAAAACATGAACAGCACCATGGGAAGGCGACTAAGAGAGGGGCAAAAGTGGGTGCTTGAGGAGGGAGAGGGAATCCCAGACGGTAAATTTGGCTTTAGTGGAAGCTCTGTTTAAAAATTCTGCAATTCATGGTGGAAATTCCAGCTACCCTGGGGGCTTTTGGGCATCATTGTTTGAATTTAAGGGGAATGGTATATTTCACCTTCTCGAACAACCTCAATTACCCAGAGCAAATTTTCCTAATGAAATATAATTGAGACAGCAACATAAACCAGGACACTCAGAAATCAGCTTCCACATGGAGTTAGGGGGATAAGAAATGTGGTCTTCTGCTGGCTGCCAGTCCTTGGCTTGTGCCCCTTGGACCCCCCCAAGTTTCAAAGTGTGGACCTTGGAAGACCAACCTTGCTGTGAACCATAACACAAGGCTTAGCCTTGGAGCTAGACGGCTAGGTGTTAAATCTTTCTCTTTGAGTGTAGCAATTGAAGTACTTGTATGAAAACTGCACACCTGTGAAATTGGAATTTTTGGGACAGGTCTGTAAGAAGCTCTCAGAGGACAATGATGTAAACAGTATCGAATCTGTGAGCCTCATTAGTTGCCCTCCAGTGCCATATCTGGCTGTTAAAAATGCGCTTCCTAATGCTGAGCTGATGTCTGTCCCTTGCTGCACCTTGTTCTAATCCCTTCAGCCACCAGAGACTTTAAACTGCCCACAACTTTTTTCTCTTCAAGACTCTTTATTCCTTCAAACAACTTTATAACCCCCACATTTCCTGGCTTTCTGACCCCCTACTCCATTTCTAAATATTCCTTTCCGCTCCTTCCCAGGGGTTCTCTTTTCTGCCCACATCTTCCTTTTTTCTGTGATCCCTCAAATTCTTTTCCTTTTGTCTTCCTTAAATCTCTTCCCACTTTACTGCTACCACCGACCCTCTGTCCAGGCAGCCTGGGTTTATGTTGGTGTTTCTCACAGCCATGTGCCCCTGTTAATGAGAAATAAACCCACAGAAGAAACACAGGCTATGCCCAGTGGGAGCTGGAAAGGCAGCCTCCTCATTTCCACCCGGGAATAGTTTTAGGCAGAGTCCTGCCTCTGCTGGCTGAGTGCTGTCAGCAGGTGACAGTGGCTCCTCATCACAGGCTCTGGGCCTTAGGAGAACTAAGTCACTAGGCTGTTTATTCTGGCTTCTCTGCCCTGTGAATTAACTAGCCACTAGTGCTTGGACCAGCATATCTATTGGAGGCTTTTTTAAAAATTCACGAGATTTTTAAACAAGGGGAACAAAACAAATAGCAGTAAAAAATTCCCCACCCCCCACTTATGGCCTTTTGAAATGTAAGAAAACAAGAAACTATAAAACAAAAATGGGTGCTAAATCATTTAATCTGACAGACCAGATTTTGTTTTGTTTTTGAAATATTTGCTTTGTTTATCCCATGCATCCATGATGGAGGCAACATTTTTTTTTTTTTTTTGAGGGGATGGCAGTGTGCAAAAACGTCTTAGCTGTGACAAGGTCCTGCAGTACATAAACAGATAATATATAGTTATATGTCCATGGTATTAAAATGTCACGGGGAGGGGCAAATAAGAAATACATGTCTAAAGAAGCCAAGAGGGGGGTGATCATGAAAAAGCAAAGGTTGAGAAAACTGGTTTATCTCAAATACCTGTAGCTTCTGTCCCATTTTTTCAGGTTTAGCTTAACCAGAACACTTAAAACTGTTACCAGACAACATTCACCAACACTTGTGGTTGCTTAACCAATGTCCCCATCAGTCTGCTGTCTTCCACAGCAGTTATCCTCTTTGAGCTGCAGTACTAGGTCAGTACTTGCAACCATGCTGCCTGCTCCTGCTCTGAAAAGCTTGTTCTTAGACACCGAGGTCAGGGAGAGAAGGTGGGGAACACACACACCACATTAAGTATGACTCTCAGGATGGCTAAATTTTTCCAGTTTAGGGAAAGGACACAGAATTCTGCATTTTCTAAACTGCCTTTTTAGACCATTTTGCAACCAACTGTAAAGCAGATTTGACGAAAATTTATATGAAATCAACACAAAACAGATTTCTTCATAGCTAGTGCTTTTTATTTGATCAACATTTAAAGTTTTTTTGGAGTCCCATTAGGGTTAAAATCACTAGTATAGAGTCAAACTGGACAACCCCAGTCTTCTTAATCAATCTAGATATTTGGAGCTGAACGGGATAATAGGAACATCTCATTCAGCAACTTAATTTTAGAAGAAACTGAGGCAGAGGGGTATTGGGTCTGACCTAAGGCCACTTGGCAAGACCAGGACTAGAAGCAACCTGGGCTGCTATCCCCCGGGCTTTGTCTTGGATCCCACGGCTCCAGTCTGGGACATCAAGTTATAGGAAATAGAGTCATTAGTGTCAAAACTCTACAGCAGAACAAGAAATTCCATCCCTCATTCTTGAACACGGGGATTAAAGATGTCATTTGAGCATCTCTTCCCTCTCCTGGGCGATTATTTAGAGAAGAACAGGGCTTGAGCTGGCATGTGACATCACTGGCCTGAAGCTCAATTTTATTTTAGTGATTTGGTTTTTGTGATAGGTCGCCTTCCTGTTAAGAGACATGCTTTACCCACACCATGATTTCTGCTCAGTTTCCTCTCAAAAGCTTTCCGCTTCTTGAAGAACAGTATAATAATAACTGATAAATGAAGTAAATCCATGCAGATTATTTAAAAACCAAAAAAACCTCATTCTTACCAACACTGAAGTTTTAGTTTTCTTTCTCCTTAAACCTACACAGCTGCGAAAAGTGAAGGCTAAAGAGTAAAAGGCTGTAAGCAATTCCAGGGTGAAAAAGGCTTGCAGTGCATTAAAGAAACATCTCAAAACAATCCCAAACTGTAACATTTCTAATTCTTGAATTCTGATGAACATAAAGAGTTTTGTTTGCAAAACTTTAAACCTCTACCAGGTTGATGCCACACAATATTGGAGCATTGTGACAAAATTTCTCAGCTCAAGTAAGTTCAATTACAAGAGCACCTTTGGGTCGTCCTCCCCTCCCCCCAAAAAGCAAATGTCCATTAAGTAAATGATTAATGTAGTAAAGGAAATAAGTTCAATATTGGGGCATACCATCATGTTTAACTAGCTTTAATCTCCTGCTCCTCCTCCTTCACCCTCCATTTGAAATATTAAAACTGGCTGGGAATTCACCTATGTGGTTAATGGTAAGATCTGCTTTATCTTGAGAGCAGAGCCTCACTTCACAGACCTCACCTAAGTAAAAGGGGCAAGGGGGCCTATTCAAATGCTAACCCTAGTTGAGCAGAGTGAGACAAAGGGCCAGTTGGGAGACTAGTGATTTAGGAATGCTTGGGGAACTTGCTAGAAATGGCTCTGGAAAAGGAAGGCAGCTGAACACCAGTTTCTCGGGCAGAAAGAAGGTTTGATAAGTCTATATAGCAAAATCCTATCTCCTGGCTGGGGGAGGGGAGGTCATGGGTACTTTCTTGCGTGGGGTGGGTCTTTTGGTCTATCTCAGTTGCTTTGTATGGTCTGCACTGGCTTTTCCACCATTGAATCAGGGTGTAAAGAGGGAAGTTGGGGGAGGGGAATTGAGTGGGGGAGGGTGAGTGCCGGTAGGTAACAGGTTTTCCCAATGGGCGGTAATGCGGATGTGGAGGCAGTTGTGGAAGACTGTCTGAAAGACTGTGTTCCTAGATTGTCCCTTCCTGCTATACGTGAACATAGTGCATTGCTTACAGTTCAGGAAGCCTCCCTGAGTTGGGCTTGGTGTGGGCTCGACACGGAAGGCTTTTGGAAAACTTGTTTATTCACCCTGCAGCAAGGCAACATGCTGATTTCTCTAGTGAGTAAACCGAGCTCTGTGGGAAAACGGGTCTCCCAGACCACCCAGTCTGAAGATCACTCCCACCCTTGAAAAGCACACCAAAAGACTGGCTTCTCTTGCTTGTCCCTAGAAAACTTTTGCTTGGTGAACTCAGGCGACTGAGACATTACCAGACGAAAAACTGAACACTTCATGTCACAGAAAGCAACACACCATCACTGTTTACATTGAGTAGGAATTTCAAGTTAGGGGCAAGCCAAAAGCAGGGCACGCCTAGCCCTTCTGCAGACTCCAAACTTCGGAGACTTAACATAACTGCCGCAGAAAACCACTTGCAAATAAATTGGCTTCTCCGTATTTACTCGGGAAGACCACAGAGGCATCCAACCACAGTTCGCGCTGCAGCCCGGCAGAACTGACTCTTGGGCGCTGCGACGCCTTTCCTACGGAGTAAGTCCTGGGAGGAAGACCATTTAAGGTATTTTCCTTCTATCACCATCCTTTTCTTAGGAGTTAAGAACCTGACCGTCATTCATGTCAAACTATCAAATCGCTTTACTTTTCCTCCAAATAATTGTCATCATAATAAGTAAAGCCGGCACAAAAGGAGACACGCACCCCAGAAAAAAAAAATCAATTTCCAATTCTGATGAGATTTTGTAAAGGCATTTCACATATCAGTCTTTCCCCCCAGGACTGGCGAGGAGAGCACGTCTTCCCCTCCGAAGGTACTTTACCAGATTGCAGCCGTTTTTGTGCTGGGTCACCAGGGCAGATTCCCCTCCAGGTTACAGATTCCAAACTTAACTCCACCCCAGCTGAAAATGGCCGGAGCACGCCGCCTCCCCTCCCTCAGCCGCCGGCCCCTGCCCGCTTTTCAACTGATTGTCCATGGACTGGCGCCGGATCCAACACCTTTCCCCACCTCGGCGGGTGCCGCGCTCTTTGGGGACGAATTGTAAGTTATCGTGATGTTAGACGCGACCCCCTCTCCAGCCTGTCCCTTGTTCCGCTTTACCTTTCCGCTGCGACCACCCCGAGGGCCTCCCGGCGTCCTGCGCAAACAGCCCAGGACGTCAGCTAAGCTGCATGCAGCCTGGCCACCGGACCAGCTGCGCCAAGAGCTTGCCAATACCCCGACGTGACCATGTCTGTGCGTCCAACCCTCGTGGCCCGTAGAAGCACCCCCAGGGGTCCCCTTACCTCTCCTGACTTTCCTCCAAGTACTTTCCCCCAACCTCCAGCCGCCCGGAGAGGTCTATTCAGGCGCGCACGGGCAGGTGCGCACGCTCTTTGAGGCGGTCTCTGGGCCCCAGAGCGCCCGGAGACCGGCTGTAGCGGCCAAGCCTGGCGCGTGGCAGCGGGGAGAACTGGCGCGGAGGTCCCGTGGCTTCAAATTGCCAGCGCTGAGACCTGGGATCCCGGCTCTGAGCTGCTCAGGCGCCGCGCGCGCGGGTGATTTCCCTCCCGGGCTGTCAGTCTTCAGAGTTCTCGCTCAATCCCATTCTGACTAATTTCAGCACATTGCAACAGTGTCCCTATGGCGCAGCTGCTCCCGAATCGTGTAAATTGGCACATGCACCTCCGAACCACATTTTGGGCTCTTGCGAAGCCAACTTATTTGAGACTAGTCTTTCTAAGAGGTAGAAAAGCGCGCAAAACAAGTGACTTACCAATACTGCTTGGGTGTGCAGCTCCAAATCTGGGACGCTTTCAGGATTCAGTCGCTTAGCCAGTGCACCAGCACCGGTACCTCAGGCTGTCTCCAGCGGGGTGCACCGGGTGCGTCCCGCCGTCCAACAAGCCTTTGGCCACCGGGGCGCTCCTGGCATCCTGAGAAGTTTGGGGGAGCCCTCGTCGCCTCACCCTGACCCGGTGTCCTGGGCTGGCCAGCTGAGCCCCTCTCTTCCCGCTCGCCCCTAACCTGCCCTTCTCACCTCCTTTCCACCAGCCGCTCCCACACCGCCCCCCACCCCGGGCTCCCCAGTTTAGCGGAGGGCAACTAACCTGAATCCATGAAAACAAGGAGAATCTGGACGGCGTCCTCCATTAGTGACGCCGGATGGGGATGGGTCCCTTTTTGGAAGGGGACTCCGGGGACTCCTCACGGCGAGTGGGCTTTTTCTTGGGCTTGCAGCGACGCCGCTGCTGCTTCTCCTCCTTGGGCTCCTCAGACTCTTCGGGGTCCGTCGGATCCTTGTCCTCGGGCTTGAGCTCCTCCCCCTCGCTGGGGCTCTGGGGCTCCTGAGTGCTGGGCGGCGCGCGACTCGGGGAGGTGTCGGGGCTTCGCAACTTGAGGGCGTGCAGACGCTGGGTCAGAGACTGGCTCTCCGCGAGGGACTGGCCGAAGGTGGAGTGCTTGGGCACCACCGGGCCGCGCTCGTCTTCCGGCTCGGTCTCAGGCTCAGTGGCGGGGGCGGTCTCAGGCTCGGTCTCGAAGTCGGTCTCAGACTCGATTTCGGACTCGGTCTCGCTCTCTGTCTCGTAGTCGAACTCTTCCTCGTACTCTAGGCACTCGGGGAGCGACAGCTCAAGGTCTGCCTCCTCGTGCTCGTGGTCAGATTCCGATTCGGGGGACTCAGGAAATACCTGGGCGCCGGAGCGGTGGTGGGCGTTAAGGAAGCTCCGGCGCTGTTGGGCAGCTGCGCGCTGCTGGGCACGGGCGTTGGAGGTGGCAAGGGCGCGGAGGAGCGCGATGGAGCAGGAGAGCCAGAGGAGCGCGGTGGCTGCCCGGCGGCCTATGGGCGGGCACAGGTCGTTGTAATTTTGGCGAGCTCGGCGCCACTGCTGAGCCCGGGACCTGCGATCCATCCTCTTAGGCGCACACGGAGAAGCAGACCTGCCCTCTGGCTCTGCAGAGAGTGGATCCAAAGTGCATCGGCTGCTGAAGCCGGGTAAGGTACACCCTACGATATGAGAAGCTGGCCCGGAGGTGCCAGCTTCACCTCCTTGTGAGGAGAAACAGGGAAGACCTACCTTCTTGACTACTTAGGAACTTTCTAAAGCTCCGTGCCTTGCTTACCTCTCTGAGCAAAAAGCGGGGAAAGGTCTGTCTCCTCCCTGGCTCCTCTCGCTGAGTCTTAGGCTCTGCAGTCTAAGACTCGGAGAGGTGCCTCCGCCGGCCCTCTCGCCTGAGAGAGGACAGAGGAGACTGAGGCGAGGAGGGACGGGCGGAGAGGTTCTGCGAAGTTGCGCGCCCGGACTTCTGCCGGGCATGTGCAGTAAGGAGATGGGGGCCGCCTCCCCGCGAGCTGTGCGGTGGCGCCGAGCCTGTGGCGCAGACCCTAGTGGGCCGGCAGATGGCAGGAGGGAACCTTGTTTGAAAGGATTTAGGCGAAGCGATGGGCGGGGTACCTGGCGGGTGGCGAGGAGCAAGCGGGCAAGCTAGCCCGGGGTCCAGTACTTGGGCAGGTGGGCATCGGCTCCCATGGGGTCGTGCCCCTGCCTGGTTTCCCCAGTCATTGGTGAAAATAAACACAGCCCCGGAGCAGCTAAAAACCCAGAACCCCAGATAGCAAATATTCAAGGGAATGAGGGTCTCTACGCAGGTGTTAATGATCCAGCCCCCAGTCTTTTCCAAGGGCTTAATAGTTTGAAGATGGTAATTTCAGGCAGGCATTAATCATGAAACTGCCTTTAGCAGATCTGTTGTAGTGACTGTAATTAGAGAAGTTTCCAAAAAAGACGTGCCCAAACAGTCTGAATTGGCTAATCACCTCAACTTTTTCAACAAGGGCCTGCAGGGTTGAGGTAGTAGTTTGCAAGTCTGCAAGCCCATCTTAGAACTGCCCTGAGCTCTATTTAGCTGAGAAGGTGGTGCTGGAACTCAGGCTGGAGCTGAACATGGGTAAAGGGAAGCTTTTCCTCTGCTCTTAGTCCACATAACCACTTCTCTCCTGTGGGGCAGTTCAGGGGTGACACGGAATCCTCACTGGAGGCCCCTTACAGCTATTTTATAGATAGATTTTTAACAAAGGTGACTCTTTCAGCAATACTCATTGAGTGCCTCACATGTGCCAAGCTGTGTTCTAGGTGCTGAAGGTAGAGTAGTGAACAACAACAAAAGTATTGTATTAAGGACAAGACATTTTGGATTAATTTGCTGTTAATCAGGAGATTGAATCAGTCAGAATCCCTCTGTACCCACCACCATTGTTTAATCTGGCTTGAATTCCACATGAGAAAATGATCGGATCAGGGCTAGGGGGCGGCCAGACACCACTAGATTGTATTGTTGAACTCTGCAAAGGCTGAAGACGTGGAATAAATACTGCCGCTCTTTCTTGGGCCTAGAAAATCAAATGATGGCCTGAAGGAGAGATCCCTGCAGTGGGAGCTAACCTGGCTGCTGCTTTTGGGGTGTGCATGTCTTCAGTCTGGCCCTCCATGATGATCATGGAGTGCCCTTTTGGCCACAGTGACAAGTCCAAAGGCCAAACAACTCAGAGCAAAGCCATCATCCTAGAATCCATGGGAGTATCAAGAAGGTTGTTTTACTTGGGATTCATACATGGGTTGGGGGCCTTTTCATCTTCTTGAGTCAGTATGGGGAATCTTAAAAAAAGATGTTCTCCCAGTAGGCGGCCCACCAGGTAGTACCCTCCCGGTACTTCTGCCTGGTGTCTGAAGAGTCAGTCATGTACCCACAGCCGTTCTCACACCCTCAACTTATCCTCACACCCTCAACATTACACCTGCATTAAAGCTACCAAGCACAGAGTTCATACCCCAGTGGGAAGCCAGTAGCCGTTTTGGATGTGTTGAGGTTTTCCTTTCGGCATCTTGGCTGTGTCCATCTTGCATCTTGCACTCTGTGTTAGTTTGTAGCATGAAAATAGTGATTGGGCTGGGCACGGTAGCTCTCACCTGTAATCCCAGCACATTGGGAGGCCAAGGCAGGTGGATCACTTGAGGCCAGGAGTTCAAGACCAGCCTGACCAACATGGTGAAAGCCTGTTTGTACTAAAAATACAAAAATTAGTCAGGTATGTTGGCGCGCACCTGTAGTTCTAGCTACTTGGGCGGCTTAGACACAAGAATTGCTTGAACCTGGGAAGGTGGTCTAATAAAGTGGGAATGATTTGTCAAAGCCCACAAAAGGACAAATGTCTGTGTTCCTGTTGTGCCCTGCTCTGCCACTTTTCTTGAGGAACTGCAAGGGTTTGATTATCGAAAGTGCCTGTGTGGCTGTAGTCATTGTGTGGACAGGGGCATTTAGAGCTGTATATTTCAAATCCCGATCTCTGCCTCTCAGTTCTGACTGATGGGGCACGTTTCTAGAGGGTCTGCCTACACTGACCCACCCACTTTATTTCTTCCAATTAGCACAGCTCCACCGACAGCATATGGCACAGAAAGATATGGTTAAAGCTGATCTCAGGGCATGTTGGCAAAAAAAAATCAGGAATATATGGGTGCTAGTAAATGCCCTTTGAATGGAAACTAATGTCAGCTGTCAGCAACGAGGTGGTTTATGATTCTTTAGTGTATATAAGAAAGTACTTCATTCTTCAGATGGAGTGCTTTATGCCTATAAAGGAGATGGCAGCCCAGAGCTGATTCACTAATATAGATACACTGAGATTGCCTGCATTACTTAAAAATGTGCATTACATAATACATATTTTTGGACTAGATTCTGCATTAGCAATGTGCTTTCTTTGCAAGATGCATTTTAATCGGCAAACATTTAACAAAACACTGCATTTTTGAGTCCCAGTCCTGCATAGTTACGAATACATCTCAGTGTACATTCAACACAGGCTCTGGGAGGAGGGAGCAGGGGACTGCACTGAAATCCATTCCAGTTTACACTTAGTGCCGGGGTCGAGCAAATGGAGCTGTGCAGAATATGCTCTTTAAAATGCAGTACGTGCATGACTTTAAAAAGTGCTTGCTGCAGAGTGAATTTCAAAAAGGAGCAAGTGGGTGATGAACAACCTCTGTTGTTCCCGGACTAAGGAACAAGGGGCTCTCTCCGTCTGCCGGTAAATAAAGTATGGACATATATCACCTCCGGGCTCTGCTGCAGGTAGGCTCCTAAACCAGTTGTGCAGGAGAGCGCATTTCCCAGCTCACTACAGTATCATCCAGTAAGCTTCTGATTTGGATGGATTGTGAAGAATATTGTCTTTAACCCCTTAAAGGATTTTCCTGTTGAAGAGGCTTTTAAGATCTATTCTGTGTGGCTCTAGAGGGCACAATTAGAACCTGTTGGTGGTAGTTGTAGCAGAAAGCCTTCAGCGAAACCCAAAGAAGAGTCTGGCATGGAGTGGGCTGTCAGAAGGTTGTTGGTGCTTTGTCAGAAGCAATGTAGGTGAAAGGACAGGTGATCAGCCCCTGGAGATGTTTTTCATGGTGTGAGTGAGTGAGTAGGGTTGGAACTTGGTGCCCACCACAGTCTTAGCAGGTTAGCCTCTGATTCCATTGAAGGCCTCTGGAGGCCGTGGGAGAAAGGGCTTGGGGGCTCTTTTCCCTCCAAAATAGTAAAATACTTTTTACTCTACACCTGTCAGCAATCTGGTTTTCATATCTCGGGGCATTTAACATCAATGTGTGTGTTGTTGGATGGCAGGAATTCCTCAATTACTGCAATAGTAAAAAGTAAAATACTTTTTATTATTTTGGAAGCATTGAAAGTGTAAGTGGCTCAGTGACAGGAATGTGGAGATGGCATTTATGTGGGTTTTTTTTTGTTTGTTTTGTTTTTTGAGACTAGTCTCACTCTGTCACCAGGCTGGAGTGCAGTGACATGATCTCAGCTCACTGCAACCTCCACCTCCTGAGTTCAAGCGATTCCCCTGCCTCAGTCCCGAGTAGCTGGGACTACAGGCGCACACCACCACGCCCAGCTAATTTTTGTTGTTGTTGTATTTTTAGTAGAGATGGGGATTCACGATGTTGACCAGGATGGTCTTGATCTTGACCTCATGATCTGCCCACCTTGGCCTCCCAAAGTGCTGGGATTACAGGCATGAGCCACTGTGCCCGGCCTGGTGTGGCAGTTTTAAGGCATGGCAAACGGATGTGTGCAATGGACCCATTGGCCTACGGAAGAGTTTTCCTCACTAAGGCAGGCTCTTTGCGCCACAACTCACCACTTGTTGAAGCAAATAAATTAATCAAGTCCATCTATTAATTACATTGGTCCTCTTTGCCTCCTTCCCTGGAGCTGTCTCGGAAATTACAAATGAAATTGGCTATTTCATTTGTGAATTGAGCCACTTCTATGATCAAGATACTATTCCAGGCATTGTGGGGAGATTGCAGTAATTGAGGAATTCCTGCCATCCAACAACACACACACATTGATGTTAAATGCCCCCAGATATGAAAACCAGATTGCTGACAGGTGTAGAGTAATACATTCCAGCCCAGATAGACAGGGAGGGAAGTTGAGTAACTGTGGTTAGAATCAGAGGTACAGTTCATCTGGTGGTTTTCAGAAAGAGATGAGTCTTTACCTGGTCTGACTTTGAGATTTTCTTTTGATTTTTAAAAGCCCATGAGAATTGGTTTCAATCGACTTGTTCCTAACCATGTGTCTACCGCGTGCAAAGCCATGTGCTTGTGGCTCCGGGGGAGACAGATGAATCATGGCTTCTCAGAAGGCTTGCAGGCTATTGTCATGGGTCCCATAGAGATCAACTCATTTTCCAAGATGAAACTCAATATAATAGATCGGTTCTGCTCTGCCTGGTGAGCGGATATAATCAGTCTTGAAGATATTTTTTGGACAATCATTGGAAAGGACTATTTTTGAAGATGAAGAGCTTTTCAAACTTTCCTTTGGATAGAAATGAATTCAGGGAGTTTGAAGCACTCCCCACCCCTCACTGTGGCAATCAGCCAGTAAGGCTCAACCCCACTGAGAATTTGGCATGAGAATTTGGCCCTCCCGCCTGTTCCCCAGAGAGGACTGGGTACAATGCAGAAGCATTTGGCTCAGTTCTCTAGGGTGCTTTTTTGCTGTTATTCAGACTGCACTGATATCAATTGGCTCTCACAAGTAAAAATGGTGAAAACCTCAAGTTCCTGATTTTTGAGATTTGGGGGGAATGCCATATAGAGCTAAAAGCAAACAATAGGGGGAAATAATCACCTTTTTGACATGGCTGGTTTCTGTCCAGGCCATTGTTGGGATTACAATACTGTATTTGTGCCCTTCATTTTTAAACGGAGTAGGATCAGAAAGGAGCTTTTGGTTTTGTGTGCAGATTGCTCGGAGCTGTCTTACCAGGAGCTGCCTTACTTCCCCTTCGCTTCGTGCTCTGTCGAGCTTCTCCTACAGTGCCTGTCTCCCTCTCTCTCCCCCTCTGCCACAGGAGGAGCAATTTCTAGACTCCTGATCCAACATGAAGCATCTAGAAGCCCCCTTGCTCAGGCAAAGCATCAGCTTTGGGGTACAGACCCTCTTGGACGTGGTGTCTTGTTTCTTTGCCATGGCCCTGGAGCTTGATATTCTTGTGTTCCCTGTTCGGCCCCAGACTCTGACACCCTGCCTTGCTTCATCCTGAGCTCCGGCTGTCTGCCCAGCCTGATTGACATGGAGCTTGTCTGGTTCTTTCCTGCGGCCAGCTGAGACCTCATTGTCCCAGGACATCCCTGGTCCATGAAGTTCTGGCCCCAGGTGTCTACCTCTGCCTTGCCCACCAGTAGCCAGCAGCCCTGCAGTCAGGGGCTATAGGTGAAAACACTGCTGATTGCAAAGGACCATTCAGCTGTCAGGAAAGCTCTCGGCTCATAGCTTTGTCTTTTGTCCAGCTCTCCTGGACATTCAATCTTTTCCCCCAGCCCCCAGCCCTGACAGAGAGCCTCAAAGTTGTTTTCATCTCATCTGTTGAGGATCTGACTCACCCCTTCAGACTCGTGGTAGGGAGGGAGGGAGGGAGCATGCCTCAAGCCCAGAGGGGAGAAACCCTTAGTGGTGTCACGGTTCAGGCACACGTTCATAGAAATACTTTCAGCTCAAGCTCTTCAAAATATGATTAGACCAATTTTACATGTCTAGTCACTGAGGCTCTGGTAGATTGGGACTATTTCTATATGTGCAAGTGAAGTGGAGAATTGAGGCAATTATCTTCAGGCAAATGAATCTGGGCACTGTAATCAGTCCATCCTGATAACTGGGGGGAAATCGGCCTCATTCACAGTAGCATTGCCTTGTGTTAAAGAGAATTCTAAGATATTTGTTTGTTATTTTTGCTTGGCTTTATTTTTCCAAAAGACAGTCCGGTGAAGATCAGGCCCTGCCTCGTGTTAGGCTGTGTGGCTCCCCTAGGCCTCAGAATACTGTGAGTCAGTCAGGTGTGCGAGGGGCTGATCTGGATGGGTTGATGATCAGATCAGTTCCCTGGCAGGACCTATCTTTTGCTTCCCTGCAGTGGATACTGAGTTTCCATGCCAGTATTTTCTTTCTACTCCTTCTTTCCTTGTGTATGAGAACCCTGAGGTGTTGGATGGGATGGTCTGCAAGGTCACCTCCACTGCCAGGATGATAGGATTCCAAATAGGGCCCATGACTGACGTACATTGTGCATGACCTAATGTCACGGAACTCGGAAACTGAAAGGCAGGGCCTCTTGACGTCAGAAACGAGAACGCACTGGAGCTTGGTGATGACTTCTGGACCCCCTTTTCCCCATCCATTGTTTGGCTAAAAGTAATTATAAATGGGAGTCCTTCCCTTTGTTGATCTAGAAGCTCCCTCATGAAGCGGCCATCTCTTCTCTCCCAGCTCTTCACCAAGGAGGGAGGGAAGAGGAGCATGAGAAGACTGCAGTTTTCCAAAGGGCAGAGTTGGTTTGAGGCATATGTGGACTTCTAATCAGATCTTAGCCCTTAAGCAATCATCTGTGTATTTAGGAAGGTTAACGGCCCAGCAAGAAGTCCAGCCATGCCTCCTGAGTGCCTAGGCACCTGGCAGAGACAGTGCAGGATCTCTGGCAAAAGAGCGATGCAGGCCTGAATATAGATCCTGCCTCCAGCTTCCTAGCTGACCAGTGACTATTGCTGGTAGCAGTGAGGGTGCTGACCAAGAGGTGAGAGAGTGAGGGGCAGGATTTTGAGGAGCCCAGCCAGGCAGAAAGAGCCTAAAATAAAGCTGGAGTGGGCAGTCAAGTTGGATTTTTTTTTTTTATTTCACTTTCCAGTTTTCTTTTAGTGACTTCTTGGTGGAAAGCCTTAGAAACCATGGAGTTTGGTCTGTACTGCTGCACTGAGTGCCCCTCCAGGTCCTTTGCTTTGGTGAATGCAAGCAGTGAATGCAGGCAGTGAGGGGGATCTGGAAATAATGCATCATCGCGCTAAGGAGGGTCTCATTAAAGTCTGAGCTAAGGACCCTGGAAAAGAAACGTGTTCTTTTATTTTTATTTGCCTACAAGTATACAGCAGAGGAAGCCACCCTAGATTTGGGCAAGGTAGGGAATACTTTCCTGAAAAAGTGATACGTGCACACTTGAGGAGAGAACTGAAAGGTGAGCATGTGGCAGCATTGGGGTGGGGCAGTTCCAAGCCAAGGAATAGTGTATTCACGAGCCCTCTGCTGGAAAGGAGCTGAGCCTGTTAGTGGAACTAATGGGTCAGCATGGCTGGAGGACAGACATGAGTCTGGAGGGGTGGGCAGGGGACTCTGGGCCCAGCAGGTCACACTGCAGTCTGTCGTTGTCTTGAACAGCCATACACAATGGGAAGCCTTTGTCCTGATGGCCACGAGGGACCAAAATCAAGTTATGTATTTTAAAGATCTCTCTGGCCACAGAGTAGGGGGATGGAATTTGAGAGGAGGCTAGAGTGGATAGTAGCTGGGTCTAGGGAGGTGCTTGGTTCTAGAATTACATAAAGCTGAGGATAGTGAGAGTGGCTTTTAGAGTTATTTAGGAAGATGACTTACAAGGCTTGGTGAAAACATGGATATGGGGAATTGGCTGTGTCAGGATGACACCCAGGTAGAACTAGATGGAAGCCAGTACTTTCCACTGAGCTAGAGAAGCAGGGAAAGAGGCCATGAGTTCGGCCATATTGAGTGGGGTGGTGGGAGGTCAGGAGTTCTGCCTTTGGCCTGTTGAGTGGAAGGTACCTTTGGACTGCACATGACGAGGTATCAAACAGGTTGAAAGATGTTCTAGGTCTTGGACACAGTGGAGAGGCTGTCATAGAAGCAGAAAAGGTCTAGTGCTAAGTGGGAGACAAGAGAGGAACACTCCAAATTGAGTTTCCAACCAAAGTCATTATCAACAGGAGTCATCCTGGAGCTGGAAGGCACTGGAGAGATAAGTCTCCGCCCTTTTGTTTTACAAGCAAGGAAACCGAGGGTTAGAGAGGGAAGTGGGACCTGCTGGTTAGTGGTAAAACCACTCTTAGACTGATTGTTTTCTAGTCCTAGTTCTGTCCCTGAATTTTTTACTACACCAAGTAGAGTATCTTCCTGTGGAGGGGAACACGAGCCAAGGACTCAGATGTCAACCCCCTTGATATCAGGTCTATTTTTTGTCAGCAACCAAATGGACAGCTCACAGCTTCACATTCTTTTCTCGATCACTTTAGAACTGACATTCCTCCGGCTCCTTATTAAAGAAAGAGCAAAGCAAGAGCTGGCTAGAAGTGGTTTGGAAGCTAGGAATAGACTATACCATGTCCTTAGTAATCATCCTGGCAAAGTCCACGTGGCAGCCAGGAAGGGTTTGGCCAAGGCTAAAGCCAGTGGCTTGGTGGCACTCTCTTTTTCGGTTGGTTGTTCCAAAAGCACCAGTTATTACTTAAAACTGGCCCCTAAAATGGGAGGATTAAGGTAAAAGAAAGGCAAGTTAATTTTTCTCAAGATCCTTTTCCAAGACATCTATACTGTGAAACTGATGACATATCAGCAGCTTCTCCCAGCCATGACTTTTTAACTTTAATGTTTAATTGCACGTGCAATTATATGAATTACATGTATTATCTAATAGTTTTAAAACATTAGATAAAGCTATGGCTGATGTCTCTTCGATGAGCCTGCACCAGCCAGTTTTCATACACCACCTCGCAAATCTCCCAGAGGTTACCGACTTCACAAATAATGGGTTTCCATAGAGGATGTCATCTTTAAAAATGCAAACATAGCTGTGTTTTTAAACATCAGGCTCCACACTGCAGACTTTTTATGTTTCTGCATATCTGCAACCCGTTCCTGTTGGTTCCTGTAGGATCTGCTTTGTTATTTAACCGTCACCTCATGGTCTGTGGGCTGAATGAAGACAGTCACTTCCTGGTCCACGGGCCATCACCTCTTTCCACTCTGTCCCTGTTAGAAACTGCACCGCAGACCATGTCGTGGCACACACGTCCATGTACATGTCACAGGAGTTTCTCTGGAGGTGTATCAAGCAGTGGAATTGCTGTTCACAGGTCAACAGAGAACTTGGCTACGTTGCACTTCTCTACGAGGCAACCAGTGTGTCCCCCCACCAGCAGTGCCTGAGGATTTGTCTCCCATCCCAGAGGGTGGTGCTAGCACCACTGTCTTCCTTCCGGTAGAGCAAACAGTAAGACCTGTAGCATCCCCAGACCCTCTGAGTTAGGAGAGGAGAGGGCTTGGAGCTGTTTTCCTGCTCTGATTGTGGGGTTGGGTTTCTGAGGCCCATGACCTTGGCTTCGTCTATATTTTCTCTAGCCTGTCAAGAAAAGAATTTGAACTTCAGTGAAATATATCTCAGAAATTTGCCACAAGGAGAGGGCTAGGGGAAACCTAACTAAAAGATGTTAGAAAAGAGAGGCCAAGCGTATCCTAGGTTCTGTGTCCAGTTTCTTTTAGTTGTTCATGAAGGTGACTGATCTGTTTTAGAAATAACCTAGTTCAGCCGGGTGCGATTGTGCCACTATACTTGAGTGAGACTCTGTAAAAAGAAAATGGAGGGAGGGAGGGAGGGAAGTTCAAACTGCCATTGGTGAACTCTTAAGGTGCTCTGATTACAAGGCATGTATTTCTCCTTCTCATTATTTGACTGTTTTAAACCCAAATCTACTTTTCTAATCCAGGATCTAGACAGTTTAAGTAGGGAAAGGCCTCAATTTAAAGAATGCTTCCTCCAGCCTTTGAGGTTCACGTCTCTGTTCCCCTTGGCCTCCCCGCCCCCCTCCCAACTTGTTGTGGGCACAGATGAGTTGGTCATGGTGGATAACTAGGGTTTCCCTAAAATTTGTCAACCAGCCAGGACATTTTTAAGCATGAAAGGCAGTGCCAACCAGGGGGATGCTGGGATGACAGGCAGAGCAGGCTGTCTGGGCCCCCCCAGTCCTTCCATCATGACAGCATCAGTGTTGTTAATAGTAGTATGGACAACATTGCAAAAAACTGTACACGCTCAGTAACATAACTATAAAAATAATTAGTATTAATGTTATATTATTATTAGCACTTTTCAAAGAGAAGTAACCTCCCTTCTCCCACTATTTTTAAATAGACTTCAGTGAGCTGAAAGTTCTGCCATTGAGAGCACTTATTCAGTTGGGTGAACTATTTGCATGAAGGTGACATTTGCTCATCTGTCTTTCTTGCTGAAGTCATCGTCTAAAGGTAAGCAAAAGAGCAAGCTCAGGAAAAAGAAAATGATGCACTCTCAGAGACCTTTTCCTGGGGCTGCTGATTGGGAGACACGAGGCCTGTGGCCACCAGTTGTCAGTGGCTTTCTGTAGCAGCAGCAGCAGTAGCAGCAGCAGCAGGGACTCTGGGCTTCCACGCTCCTTTCTCACCCATGTGGGGAGCAACACAGTCTCTTCTAGCAGGGATGGGATGCCCCGCAGCTCTGGGCCCTGAAGAGAGTAGAGGTCCATTCAGACTGGGGGCTGCTGGCCTAGGGTTATGAGTGGCTTTTGTTGGCAGAGACTACAGTTAAAACCATCTAAGTATGAAAGTACCTTAGAAATTAGAACAAAAATTACAGTCCCTTAGGAGTATCGAGGTCGTTTTCGCTCAGACTTCAATTGTTTTCACATAGCCTGAACAGTTTTTGCCATATGCCTGTACTGAAACTGCACTTGACAGTTTTCTCTACGTCAGCTATTTCTTCATGTCAAAACATTTGTTGTTAAAGGAAAATTATACAACTGCTATTGAAAGATTACCAGTGTCCCTGGATTCTGGTTAAGTATTTTAAAAATGCACATGAAGCCAAGTGCCTGCTCTGAAAAATGGCATTGTGGCCCATGTCCCTCCAGGTGCGGCCCTGACCACCTCCTTGATCCTGTCCCCATCTACCCAGTCTCTTCACTGACCTGAGAAACATTTGTCTGGACTCTAGGAGATGGTATGAGAGGTGGTCTTATATGACACAAATATTTCCCACCTTGGGGACTAATGAGGTTTTGCTGCCAGTATCTACTCAGGTGCTTCTTAGCTGAGGAGTGGTAGGAAGAGTTCTCATTCCAACCAGCGGAAGCCTGTTGAGTTTCAACAGGGCTAAATTACTTGGGGCACATTTTCTTCCCATGACATTTGTTGTCTAATAATAAGTCAACAGATGGGGTTGTCTCAGTCTGCCTTTACTATGACATTTGCTCCCACTTCACATGTTTATGTTTGCAGATGCAGCCAGGAAACAGTCCATAGAGCTGTGTATTAAACCCCAGCGAGATGAGCCCAGCCACTTTTCACTTCCTGCTGGCACACTCTGAAGTGGTGTTCCAGCCAGAAGGCCTCTCACAGAAGCCACTCGCTCACCTTTGTTCTCACTCCCAGCTTTTCTGCAGATTGGGTGGGGGGAGCTGGGTCTGTTCTCCCATTGTGCTCTCTGTTGTTGATGAGATGCCAGAAAGTACAATGCTCTCATCAAGTTCAAAAGTAGGCAAAGCCAGGTAATGCATACATGATAAAATGTTTACGGCGAGCATATGATAAAACCCAGCTTCTGTATTTGGTTCCTTCTGGTGGGGAAGACCGCAGGAGTAGGAGAAGGACATACTGGTAGATGAAGTTCCTGGCTGTGTTCTTTCTTGGGTTGGGCTGAAAGGTTCACAGGGGTTGCTGACAGTATTTTCAAATACTAGGTTTAAAGTATATATTTGGACTGCCGCCGTGGGTCAATGGTATGGGACAGCTGAAACCAGTCCAGGGCATTTGGGGAATGGTAGACCTACTGTGCTGTGGCAAGAGGAGGTTGTGAGGCTGAGCTGTTGGGACCAGTGTGGTGGGACTTTGCTCGCCCTTCTTCTTTCTATACAAACTAAGAACCCTCCGAAGAGTTCTTAGCACATACTAGGCCCTCAGTAAATATTTGCTGAACAATTTTTCACATGTGTATTTTTAAACTTGTTGTTTTGGAAATTTTCAAGCACACCAAGGCAGAGAGGAGGCCAGCAAGCCCTGGAGCGCAGCTGCGCTGCCCATCAGCTTCTGCTTCTCTGGTTTCCTCTGTCACCCCCACCTTTTGTTCTGGAGGCTTCACAGCAAATCCCAGAAATCGTAGTGTTTCACCCCTGGCAGTTTTGGACAGTAGAGTAGGTTCTTCTCTTCTTTCTTTATGGGGTCTTTTGGGATATGTTGAAGGTGACTTCTTCCTCCCCAAAGAGAGCATGTCAGGAAAACGAAGCCTCCTGTCTGTATCTCCCTGTGAGGGGTTCCTCATTGCACAGGTGTGTCCTTGGCTGTGCATTTGTGCTGGGCATTGTGCTGGACCCACGCATCAGTGATGAGAGAGGAAGCCTCTGGCCTGGGGCCTCCGTGCTAGTGTAGACTGATGACACGGTCAGGGGAGCAGACTCTTGCTCCTGTGAGCACTAGGAGTGTTCTACTGTGACCACCCATCTTTTGAACCCCCTTTCACCACTCCCGAGTTGATCATTGGTGATTTCCCCCATTGCCAAGGCAGAGTGGACATTTTCAGCAGACAGTACCCAAGGGGACTGCAGCCCTGCCCCTTCTGATGGAAGGTACATTGGGAACATGCAGAGCACACATCAGGGTGATGTCAGTTGTCCCCATCCACATGGAAAGACCTGGCCCCAGCCAGCTGCTGGGCCTCTTTGCACTGTATTAATAGCAAGGCCATGGGGCCCACTGGGGTCGGGAGACAGGGAGAGGACAGCTGTGATGGACATCACCCCATGCTCCAGGCATGTGCTTCCGTCACAGGCGGGCACAGATGGCTGCACCTTGGCCTGCCGCTCCAAAGCCCCCCAAACCTTGCCAGCCTTCTTGTAGGGGCAGGAATTGGCTTGCACTGATGACCCATTTGACAAAGGAGCTAAATTACAAATGGCATGATTGGAATAGAGGGTTCCAGTGGCCCCGTGTTCAGGGTCAGTTTATGCTTTTATTGGATACACAGGCATGGGGGCTGAATGAGGCAGTGGTATTTAAACAGCTGGGGGTATTGGGTTCTATATGCCAAGGCTAGACAGAGAGTTTTAAATGTCACAGGCCAAATGGAAGCTCAGTTGGCAGCAGGACGGAGTGGCAGGGGGATTTGGAGGCCACTGCCTCGCTGTGGCTAGATATGGCCAGGAGAGCCGAGTGGGATTAGGGCCTGGGAAGAAGCCCAGCATGTGGAGTGCTGGTGAAGAGGTAGCAGGAAGGGTCATATGAGTGAGCACCAGGCGCCAGGGATGGCGGGCAGGAGCACAGGTGCTGGGGCCAGTGGCAGGCAGAACTGTATGAAAGCACCAAGGACAGGGCCAGAGGGGAGAGGTCAGAGCCCAGCCCTAGCTCAGGGGGACAGGTAGGAGCAGAGCCTGTGGTTCAGGGCCCTATTCTGGCATCAGAGAGATGTGAGTGCTAACCTCAGCACCCCACTTTCCATCCCGGGGCCAAGGCAGTTTCCTGACTTCAGGGAAGGGGCCAGGAGAGGATTAAGTAAGAACAAGCAGCACGTGACACTCAGAAAGGTGATCGCTGCTATTATTAATAGTAAAAATTCATTGGTGACCAGCCGCCATTGTGGAATGGAGCCGGAAGCTGCTCTCCAGGCCTGCTCCCACCCAGAGACGCTTTCAGCCACATAGGAGTTCCTTTAAGGATGAATGATGACAACCACCAACGGCTGGGTATCAGCAGATTTTACAGAAACTTTTGGCCATTTGACTTTTCCTGGCCTCATGGAGCCTCTAGTTTTCTGGGTCCTGCCTCTTCATGTCGGTAGACAACCATAGCTCGGGGATGGCTGCCCCCTGTTGGCCAGCAACGCATGCACCCGGCGCCTGCCACCACCTGTGCCTGTCACTTATTTATCTCTGAGTGGGGCCTGGCCTCCCTAGGCATTCGCACTTGCTCGCTCCCTGCAGTACAGTGGAGCTATTATTATCTTACAAGAAACAAGGGTCATCATCAGAACTGGGCAGGGGCCCAGCAACGACGTTCTGGCTGGCGCCTCCTTGCCTTTGCCGTGACACTGGTCTGGGAGACTTGGCTGATGGATGAGCATTGAGTGGCCAGGTCTGGGGAGGGGACGGCAAAGGAAGGCGGGCAGTGAGCTTCCACCAGAGGCTAGGCCGGGGCTGTGGATCCAGCATGGCTACCTGCTTTCCTCTTGGTGGGCCCCTAAGTAACCTGAACAGAGCACCACAGGGCTAGGGCAGTTACCATGGCAACATAACATCTGTGCGTCCCTGGGCCTTCCTCATTTTTGTTGAGGTGAGGATGGCTTAGGAAAGCTGGAGGAGGCCCAGGCTGGTCTTAACCCTGGGTCTTGCTTTTCAGCACAAGGGATTCAAGGGAGGAAGGGAGTTTCTGTTGGGGCTTTTGTGGGCCTCAGGCCCCTGTGTTCATCCCTATTTGTATTCAGAACTCCCTCCTTTTCCTTAGTGGTTCAGAGTTTCTCTTGCTCATCCAGGCCTCAGAGAAGAATCCATGGTAGCTGTGACCATGGTAGTTGTGACCATAGCTAGGCCTTAATTCCTTCAGGGCCATCTACATGAAGGCTTAGAACATCCCCTCATCTTCTGAAGAAGTGCAAGTCTCCTCCTGTGGGCTTCCAGGGAACACTAGCGTTAACCTGTGCTCACATGGCCTGCCCTACGCTCAGGCTTCTTGGCACAGAGAATCCCTTTCTCTTACTGATTTGTGGTGCATACCCTGTTCTAGGCATTAGAGGAATGCATTAATTTTTGTACTCTTCATAGCAACCTCATGGGGAAGCTGAGGCACACCCAGGTCAAATAGCTTGCTTGGGCAGGAAAGTTATGGAGTCTGGATTTGAACTCCAGTGGTTGGTCAGGCTCCAGAGGTCCTTTCAAACCCCTGCCCTCAAATGCTGCCTGGAAAATGATGAGGCTGATGGAGGGGCCTGAGGTGATGCTCTAATGAGTCAGGAGCCCATCAAGTCACAGGAGCTGGGGAAAGAGCACACTGGACAGAGGGGACAGCCTGTGGAAAGTCCCTGAGGTGTGAAAGAGCGGGCCATGAGCTGTAGGGAAGCAGGAAACCAGTCTGGCTGCAGGAAGTGAGCAGGGGCCAGGGAAGAAGGTGGGTGGCCGAGGAGACTGCAGGGCAGCCCATGGCTGTGGCACTGAGGTCTGATTCCAAGTGTAGTGGGAAGCCCTGAGGCCTCTGAGCAGGGCCCTGACAGCCTGAAGGTCTCCCCAACTAGAAGATGGAATTCTTGTGGTAAGAGGAGGGCAGGGAGAGCAGGAGCTGAGCTGAGCTGCCCCACATTAGGTAGCTGGGTTCTGTTCACTGAAGGGGGTCTAATATAGTTTGGCTCTGTGTCCCCACCGAGATCTCACCTGGAATTGTAACTCAAAATTCACACGTGTCTTGGGAGAACCCAGTGGGAGGTGATTAAAGTATGGGAGCGGGGTCTTTCTTGTGCTATTCTCATGATAGTGAATCTCACGAGATCTGATGATTTTAAAAAACAGGAGTTTGCCTGCACAAGCTCCCTCTCTTTGCCTGCTGCTGTCCATGTAAGATGTGACTTGCTCCTCCTTGCCTTCCACCATGATTGTGAGCCACCCCCAGCCACATGGAACTTTAAGTCCAATTAAACCTCTTTCTTTTGTAAGTTGCCCAGTTTCAGGTATGTTTTTATCAGCAGTGTGAAAATAAACCAATACAGGGTCCATCTGGGAGAGGCTGCCTTTCTCTGAGGCCTCTTGCTTGGCAGTGTAGAGAAGGTTTGCTGGTGCTTCTGGAATTTTCCTTGGCCCTTTGGGACTCAGCCTGTAGTCAGAGCTGGTTCCCTAGACCGTAGATGGGGCACCCTTGGAGAGCTTCCTGGGGTGGGTGTCAAGGTGCTGTGTGTGGCTCTGGAGATTTGGCCTCTGGTGCCTCCCTCCCCTCGTCAACCTGGTGCTTCTGAAGGGCTCAGCTCAGCCTCATCTTGGCAGCTAAGCCAGGAGGCAGGGCCTTGTGGGTTTCATGTTTTTATTTCTTGATAGGTGAGGAAATGAGCTCACCTGTGTGGCTCAGTGGTCAGTGCCCAAGGCTGCATCTCCAGTTCCATGACGAAAACACCAGGTCAGGTGCATGAGTGGCTGGCGCTCACTGTGGCAACGCCATGAAGGCATCTCTTTGCCATTTTTGGTGCCCCCACTGGAGCAGGCATCTGAATTCTGGTGATTGAGAACCTAGGGGCTCTGGTGGGACACAGAGTGTCCAAATTCCTCTCCACTGGATGGCACAGCTGCAGTGATCGTACTGACCAGCATTCGTTCGACCCTTTCCCCAAGAAGGTCGCCTGCGGTGGGGATGTGAGGACCCCTTTGTCTTGGGCACCTGTTGGACCTGAGGCTGGGTCTCAGCTGTTCTACCTCACACTGAGGTTGTGGTCACCTGTGTGGGCCTGGGTTGTTTTTGTCTATGACAAAGGTTGGGACCAGAGGTAGGTGGGTTCACCTGCTCTACCATTTCACGATGGGCTGGGTCGCATGCTCACTTGCCTGGTTTCTGCTTGGGTTCCCGTTCCTTGCCCTGGCCCTGCAGGGTCCATGGAGTACCACAGCCCTACCTCCTTCCTCCTGCCAACCAGAGGACTGCAAAACAGGCTTCTCTAAGCCTGGCTCCTTGCACTCTGTTCTTGAGGGCCCTGAAGAAGTTGAATCTGGGTAAGATGGCTTGTCTCAGATCACACACAAAGGCCCTGGAGATTAGGACTCCACATCCATTTCATTGAAATCTGCTCTCCCCCATCAGAAAAAGAGCCACGTTTTCAAAACTATAACTGCCTTTCTCTTAAATCAACAATAAACAATAGGCTAAAATTTGCCCATAAAAGTAAGTTTCTCTGATGGCCGTTCTGGGCATTGGAAGCAAGACATCAAGCTGAAGTGTGACCGAGGGGATCACGCCGCGGGTGAGTGTGTGTGCCTGGTTTTGTTTCTGTTATTAATCCTTTGCCCTGTTTTTCTCTTTCTTTTTATCCCAAACCTGTCTGTTTCCAAGGGTCCCTGGAGCCTTCTGCAGCTGTGCCTCTCCATCATTAGTGCCATGTTCCTGGTTTGAAAACCATGGTACTTCAGCCTCTTCTAGATGGGAGTTAAACTTTGCCCTCTGAAGGAAAGGTTTGATAAGCAAAGAGTGTTTGGTAAACAAGATCCTTGTGGAGGTAAGAGCAGGTCTCTGAGTCCACCGGGACCCGGCTGCTCTACAGGTTTCTGTATCACATTTTCCGCACATGTCCATTCGAGCTGGAGTTGGGCGTGTCTAGTTTTGAATGCACCCTCTTCAGATGCACCTGCCACTCAGAGCCTACTGTAGAGTCACCACTGGGCTTCTTTAGAAATGGCTCGATTCATTCTTGGTAGTAACCCTACTACCCACAGGCACCTAAAATCAGAGGACTTTTGGTAGCTGGTTACCACCAAACCTCCTCAGACAATACATAGGAGACTCCAAACCAGTTGCTATTTAAAAAAAAAAAGGCAGCAGAGCAGTCATGGAGCAGACCCTTCTTACTGCTGCATATGAGACGATCCCATGGAATGCAGGAAGCCACAGGTTTATTCACGTGTGCTCTGTGGTTAGATTTCTAGCCTTCCTCTTCCTGAGGAGGTCCCTAGAGAGAGCAAGTCTGAGGCCTCACCATTGTTCCTTCACTGGCAGCACTCAAGAGTAATCCTCAAAGACCTCCCCCTCCAGCCCTAGCTGGGTTCCTAACTTTCCAGCTATTTCATATCTGCTTTGTGAATGTTTCCAGGCAGAGTGGCCAGACTGACTTGCACTGACAGTTCTCATCAGCCAGTCCCATCCTCCTAGAGAAATCCGGAATCAGCCACATGAACCCGACGCTAGAGGCCCGTCAGCACTGGAGGACACGAGAGAAGCAGCTCAGGTCTTCAGCAGAAACAGGATGGTTCTCCCAGTGGTTGATCTCCACTGTGAGGAACTGGCCTGCCGCTTTGCTGGGGAGTGAGCTGCCAGCTTCTCTTTGATGTGCTGCGTTTGTTGAGAACCAGGCAGGGGTGCTTCACCATGGCATCACTTGAATTAGGCAATGGTTCATGGACTCTTCTCTGGGGGCCCCACACGAAACATCATTAGCACAGACCTGCCACTCAGATCAAGGTAGCCAGAAGAGCCATCAGAGAATAGCCTTCAGAAGAAGAATGGCAAGGCCAGACGGCAGCGCATGAGGCCAGGGCAGAGCCACGGTGAACTGTCGATGGCGTCCTGAGCCTGCTGCCAAGGCCGCCTAGGAGCTGAGACAGAGATGGAGTGGCTGGGAGGCGAGTTTGATGTGCATGTTTGGGTAGAGGGCCTTGGCTGAGCACCGCATGAGCCTTTGTGCAGAGAGGGCCCGTGTCCATGGATCTGGGGTCCACCATGGGCCACTGAGATGGGGCAGGGCTAGGAGGGTGAAGGAGGGGAGATTCTGAGTAACATTGTGAAATTGGGCCCAACTTTGCATGGAAGGTGAGAGAAAGGACCCTTCCGGAGGGCCCCCCCTCAATCCTGTTGTGCCTGATTCAGAGGGTTGGGTGGAGGCTCTCCCGAAGGGCTCTAGAGAACACCGCACCCACAGCCATGCTGAGAGTGGGGAGGGCAGTCGATGTAAGAGGGGCCTGTCATGTCACCTGCCAAGTTCCCTGGGGTGGCCGGGGGCTGGGGAGTGGTAACCTCGCTGTGCCACTCCTCTGCCACAGTCTCCCATGGGTCCCCACTGCTGGCATTGTCACCCACCCCCCAGCCTCAGCAGCAAGCACCTACAGGATGCAGTGCCACCCCCCCCACCTGCGTCCCCGTTCTCCTCCCTGAGGCTCCCTTCACCCTCACTGCCCCCTCCTTGGGAAGGCCTCCCCTCCTTCCTCCACCTCACAGCATGCAGGGCCTGGGGCTTCTGCTGGGGGCACTCATCTGTTGCCCACCCCAGCCAGGGCAAGGCCATAGCTGCCTTGTGGATTGTTCTGTTGCCCAGCTTGTTTCCACATGTGGTATCCAGCAGGTGCCTAATAAACTTGTGTAAAAAGAGTGGTGGATGTTTGCTCTTTTATTTATTCTAAATAGAGCCCAGCTCTGCCTGCTATAGTCCTTGAAGCAAGTGCATTGTCTGACAGTCTTGGGTTGCTTCTGACCCATGGTGGCTGCCTGGGGGTCCTGCTGGAAACGTGGCACCCCCCACTCCTGCGTGGAACCGGTTGTCCCCACTGTGATTCCTCTCGCTGCAGATGGCCCCGCCTCATGGCATCAACACAGTGGGGAGTTCCGGGCTCACCGTGCTGGCGCCTGCCTTCCTCCCCCGCCACCAGACTAGACCACAAAGGGCAGGACTTTATCACACACTCAGGACAGAGCAGGTCTCGGGTTCTTGCAGGATGGACCAATGGATAGGTGGGTGGACAGAGCAAAAAGATGAAAAGACAAGAAAACGGGGGTTTGACAGGCAGGGTGGCCTGACCCTCCCTGTGTGGACAAGGCTTGGTGGGAGACATTGGGCATGGCTAGGAGGACTTGGGGTTCAAGGTGTCCCCACAGTCCTGAGCACAGAAGCAAGGGTGAGCCTCCTTCCTGCTAGAACTGGCAGAGTTTCCAAAATGAAGTCTGGACCCACAGGAGTAGTGACACTTCCCCCACTGCAAGAACGCCACTCAGATTTGAAAATTCTGGGGGCTCAGGGACCCCTGAAGTCCATTCTTGAGCCTTTCCACTAGCCGTGTCCTCCCTTGGGCAGGGGAAAGGGGGCCAGAGGGGAGCTTCCCCACAGCCCTCTCTGCAGAGGCTGCGGGGCACATGCTGGCTCCTTGCTGGGTGCTGTCAGCAGAGGTGCCGGGAGACAGCAGGCCAGGAAACCCTCTGCCCCCAGCCTAAGTCAGTCCCATGAGTTATACCAGCCAGGCCCCACAGCAGACTAGACGGAAAAGACCTTGGGAGAATGAGGTAAAAGGTCTGAGGTGCTGGGAAAAGCCAGGAAGAGAGCAGAGAGGCCTTCGCTTAGGCAGGTGCCAACCCCAGAGGCGCAGGCCTTGGGGCACAGCTCAGGGCAGGGCTGGGGTGTGGGTGCCCCCTGCTTGTGCCAAGGCCAGGACTTCAGCCCTCTCTTCTGGGTGTCCCCCATGTCTGGGCTGTGCCACAGCACAGTTCATGGGTGCCCAGGAAGGGGAGAGGAAGCCCCACCCTCAGGCCCTGCAGCCCTCACTGCCCCTAGCCCTGCTGCAGGGTCGGGCCTCCCTTCTGTCATGCCACCTGCCACTCACCCCTCTCTCGGGAAAACCCACTGTAATTCCCTTCCAAGGCTGACCATCTGGTGGCTTCAGCCCCATTCCAGCTCCCCTTTCCCCCTGGGATCATTAGACACCAAGCCCTGCCGAGGAGGCTGGCTACATGGGAGTGGAACATGGCAACCACAGAAAGAGGGAAGAGCCTCTTCTGGAGGGAAAAGAAAGACCACCAGCAGGAAATGAAGTGGGCAGGGGAACGGCAGGGGCTTTCCCGGGCTTCCCTCCTACCTCACCTGTGCACCCCAGGCCTTCACCCCAGCACTGCTGACCTTCGGGTCTGGTTCCAGCTCTGGTAGGGGCCACCCTGGGGATTGTGGGGTGTTCAGCAGCTTCCCCAAGCTAGATGCTAGGAGCCACCACCACCAGCGCCAAAAAAAGATAGATGCCTTTGCTACATGGCTGGTTGCTCTCTGTAAACTTGATCTAAACTGCTGTCCCAGGAAGACTGACATAGAGAAAGTTTGTGACTTTCCAAGGGTCCTGGTGATGTGAGGATGTGTAGCTTAATACAATGTCTGTTGATGGATGGAGCAATAATTCTCTCCATAGGTGTGCAGAGAGGGTTAGTATATACACGTCTATTTCCTAGCTCTCTCCAGGAGCTCCGAGAGGACCCTGAAGCATGACACCACCCAGGCCTTAATGGTAGTACCATTCTCCAATCAAAGGAACCAGGCTTTTGCTGAAATAGCTTATTCTGGCCAAGCATGATGACTCACGCATGCAATCCCAGCACTTTGAGAGGCTTGAGACGGGTGCATCACTTGAAGCCAGGAGTTCGAGACCAGCCTGGCCAACACGGTGAGACCCCCGTCTCTAAAAATACAAAAGTTGCCCAGGCATGGTAGTGCACACCTGTGGTCCCAGCTGCTTGGGAGGCTGAGGCATGAGAATTGCTTGGACCTGGGGAGGGAGAGGTTGCAATGAGCTGAGATTGCAGCACTGCACTCCAGCTTGGGTGACAGACCTTGTCTCAAAAAAAAAAAAAAAAAAGCCCGGAGCATCATATGGTGTAAGGAAGGAAGTGCCCCAGTAATGACCACAGGTTCCAGGGACACAGGAGCTGACAGGAGGAACTCCCAAGGGCCGCAGCTAGGACATGGGACTAGCAAGGCAGTACTGGACTGTGACCCAATGCATGGGATATCCACGAGTCCAGACTGATAGACATCATTAAATAAGTAGGTGGAAGAGACAAATCTCTCACACAGAATAATTCTGGTAGATGCTTCCCCCCTTGAGGAGATAGAACATAGCTCCCCACCCCTGAAGTGTGCACAGTGCTTAGTGACTTGCTTCCAAAGAGTACCTATTGAAGGCGGGAGATGGGGCTTCCCTGTGGAGAACTCTGGGCAGCCGTGCCTTAGCCAGGTGATGGAGGCCTGCATCATCAGGAATCACCCTGTGCCTAATACATACCCTAGATGCCACAGGATGAGGGGTACTTCATGTGGTCTTCCTCTCCCAAACCCATCGTCCCAATGTAACCATGAACCAAACATCAGATCACCCAAATTGTGGGACAATCTACAAAATAACCCAACTAGCACTCCTCAGAATGGTCAGTTTTCAAAAACAAGGAAGAGCTGAGAGGCTCAGCTGAGCCTGGAGGAGCCTCGGGAGATGTGATGATGAAATATCGTGCCGGCTTCTGGATGGGGTCACAGAGCACAGAGAGGGCGTTAGGGAGGAGCCAGGGACGTCTGCCCACCACACAGGGTTTAGGCAATATTGTTCATTTGTGGTGACAAATCACATGGTAATATAAGCAATAGAACCTGGGTATTGGGGACACAGGAGCTTGGCACTAGCTTTTCAACTTTTCTGTAACTCTGTTTTAAAATAAAACATTTATTTCAAGTGTGTGTGTGTGATATAAACAGTTGTGACCCAGCACTCATGAGCCTGGCATGGTTCGGGCAGACTAAACAGAGAAATGGAGGCATCCCGCCTTCTGGGAGAGATCAGTGCTACAGAAAGAAAAAACAGGGCTGTGAAATTGCACCCTGCCCCCAACACCTGCATGCCTGATGCCCTGATCTACCACGTGCAAGCCAGGGGAAGAGGAGAGCAGGTGAGGTCAGAGAGGGTGGGTCTCCTGTGGGCCATAGGAAGGACACAGAGATAGGGCCCCTCCAAGCACATGGTGGGAACATTCTGGGCTGAAGGGGTGTGGGGGAGCATGTGGAGTGAGTGCACATGTGTACAGCATCTGTGTGCAATGTATTTGTGTGTGTGAGTGCACATAACATTGTATGTGTGTACACTTGTGGTGTGTGTGTGTGTGTGTGTGTGTGTGTGTGTGTGTGTGTGACATGACCATGCCTGTGATGGGTGAGCAGAAGCTCCCAGTCCAGGCAGCTGTGGCAGCTCCAATGAGAGAGGACAGCCCTTACAGGGGGCGACATGAGGAAGGTGGGGAAGGTGGATGGGCAGTGCACACACTGAGGGCAGAATCGGTGTCCAGGAAGTACCTGGGACTTTGGCTGGAGCCACAGATGTGGGCGAGATGGAAGGGGTGGGTGCTGGGTTTGAGTGGGGCTGCAGGCAGGGCATAGTAGGGTGTCCTGGAAACCACTGCATGCTCCTCATGTCTACAGCATGGGACATGCTGCTTGGGAAGACCCAAGCCTCCTCCAAAATGAAGACCAGGGTCAAGAGACTCCCTGGCCAGCTGGGGCAGACTGGCAGAGATGTCCTGGGGCCTGAGGCTCTGCCGGCCCTGCCTTCCTGGCTGTTGGTAGTGGTTTCCACAAGCCACTGTGAATGGGCTCCTGGCGGAAGGAGAGCCTGCCTGCCCAAAACATCTCCCTACACTCCCCTGAAATTCTTCACTTTCTCAAAAGGCAAGATGTTCTTGTAATTAGAGGTAAATTTGGGCTGATGCCACCCTCTCAAAAAGAAAATGTGCTCATGCACCAGGCATTTGCACCTGCTTTCGAATGCAGCCATCTGTGGCCTGCTCCTTCACCCCGAATGGAGACACCGGGGCCTGCAGTGCAGCCGGGTGGAAAGACACACCTGGCCCTGCTGCAATGCTGAGTCCAAGGCTGGGATGGGGACAGGAATGAGGACCCCCTCCTCAGCTTTCCCAAGAACTAGCTTCCTTCTGGACAGTCCTAGAAAGGCTAGGGGAAGAGGAAGAAAAGAGGGGTCCCTAGTGCCATCACCTGTGGCAAGTCACCACCCATGCCTCTCAGCAGACAGTTCACAAGATGAATGCCCACCTACTGCATGCCAGACCCTTATCTGGGCCCAAGTACACAGAGGAGGGCAATATGGACATGAACCTGTCCTCATGGAGCTTAAAGTCTATGCCTGAGACAGACCCTGGCCAAGTGAACTGCAGGGGCTTAGCAGGGAGATACAGGGAGGGCTTCCTGGAGAAGGTGGCATGTAAGTGGAATAGAAGGAGGCAGTCAGACAACCAAGCAAAAGGGAAAGGTGCCCATGTGGGGATGACCAGTTCGTGGGAAAGCCTTGACCTCCTCTTGCCTTCCAGCTTTGATTTTCTCCAGGGGTATGAGCCATTGTTTCACATAGACAGTGATGCAACCCACTTTGAATTTTCTAAAGTTCCTTCTAGAATGCCATCGGAGGCCAGACTGGAAGTCAGGAGACAGGGAGAGTGCGTGCTCTCGGAGTCTTCCTGGGGCAAGGTCACAGTACCTGAACCAGGGAGAAGGTGACCAAGGGCTGCCAGAAGAGGAGCGGGTCGCAGCAGCCTGGAAGGTGCCGCCTGTGGCTGTGAGGAGTGCAGGGAGTCATGCGGGGCGTTGGCTGGGCCACCATGTGGACAGGGATGGGGAGGCTGGAGAAAGAGGCTTGCTGATGAGTTTAGTGTCTCCCCACTCGTCTTCCAGTGGCCATTTGTAAAATGAGGCAGGTGGGTGGACTATTCTCCAAGTCCCCTCCTAGCTCAGGACCCCTCCTAGGTGCCATCGGGGTGTCCTGCAGCCATGGGGAGAGCTCAAACCCCGGCACCCCTGACCCTCCAAACTTCGGGAACCACTACCTGTGGCACAGCCTTGGCTCACTTTGATTAAATATTCAGCCGTCCTCGGCGGCAGCCCACGTCCACAGCCGATGCCCTTTCTGCATGGGTGACTCACCAGAATTAATGTTCATTTGATTTTTACTATAAATTATACCTCACATAATTTCTCCATTATGGACAGAGGACAGCTCCTCGGGAAAGGCTGGAGCCGCTACTTGGTCACTCATGCCGGGGAAGTGCTTAGTCATCGCTTCTCCCACACGCCGGCTGCTGGCAGCAGACGCAGCCCCCAGCCAGGGGCAGGTGACCTAATGGATGCATCTCCCGAATCCACTAATGGGAGTGGCTCACCTTGGCCCCCAGAAGAGGAAGAGGGGAGGAAGCAGCATGAGCTCTTGTTTTCATGAACCACCTGTGCATGGAGGACTGTGATGTGGAAGGCTGAAAGCAACAATAAACTCACACTTCTAAAGAAATCACACTCCTTTCCTTCAAATATCATGGGCTGTCCCAGAATCCAAGTGGTGGGCAAGATGCGTCAAGTCCCCATCCCAGGGTGCTCTCGGGCTTGGGAGAAGACAGATTGATCAGGTCACCTCGGAAGCCAGCATACTGCAAGGCACTCAGGAAGAGCTGGGCCTTTCCCAGAGGAAGTGGTGCCTGCTGTGGCTGCAAAGCTGAGGGCCGGGCAGTGTGCACCTGCAGGGGAACAGCGTGTGCAAAGGCCCTGGAGAGGCCAGGCCTGAGGGAGAGGGGTGAGCGTGGAGCATGAGTGGAGCCAACTCCCACCCCAGAACTGTACTCCTTTGTTGGAAGAACAAGGAGGCGCTGATGTTCTTAAGGAGAGAACAGGGCACCACCATCCTTCCACAGATGTCCCTTCCATATGAGGACCTGGCTACAGTGGGCCTGGTGGCCTGCCTCGACCACCTGAGGGTGTGAAGGAGGGCATGTCGAAGAAATGGAGGCAGGGTTCAGGAGAAGGGATGGCAGCAAGAGAGGCTGCCATCTTAGTTCTTTTCACCAGTTTTGAAACCACAGGCTACTTTGTAAAAATCAGACAAATCCAGGATTGTGACTCATCAACCCCGATTCCCCCCCAGTGGAATAAACCAATTTGCTTAAACCTCCCACTGATCTTATACATTTGTCTTTTTTTTTTTTTAATATTTGAAGCTCTAAAGAAACTAAAGTTTACATGAAAAAAACACCCCAAAAACCTAGCATACTAGATTGAAGTAGACTGTGCTTATCTGTTTTCCAAAATAATTGAATTAAAAAACAAAGCCCACAAACAGAGCGTCACGACTTTCGCCTGCACCCGTCCCACCACTGCCACTCAGCCCAGGTGCCTGGAATCACTCAGCCTGGGGTGCCCTCGCCTGCCAGCCCCCACCACAGGAACACAAAGC